GGGAACAAGGGGCTGAATCAAACTTGCCTTGGCAACTTCTTGGCTCCCAAACGCTCCAGACGACCCGAGGGGAGGGGGGGGAGGTGTGGATGGAGAGCTCCCAACATCACTCCTACGCCCTGGGGAAGGGGTTCCTGCAGGGCTGGGTCTCCCCAGGGCAGAGCAGGTGGTTCACAGAGGGGAAGGGCGTGTTTTACCTAAAACCCTGAGATTTTAGGACGGCGAAGACCACCACCCAGGGGAGCCCAGGTCCCTTTTGCTGCCTCACGCAGTAGCCAGAAGGGTTTGGGGCACAAAGAAGTGGCCCTGCCCGCGGCAGGGGCGTGGAATGAGATAATCTTCAAGATCCCTTCCAGCCCAAACCGTTCCGTGATGAAATGGTGCATCCAATTAATCTGAGCAGCCTTCCAAGCCCTGCAAAGCTCAGAACTGCTTTGCTGCCAGCGCAGCTCTCCTGGAAAATCACCGAGGCAGCGGCTTCCTAAAGGTTCCTTCTCACACTTCCCTCAGTAGCAGCTTCACAAACGCTCTCCCCTCAGCCAAATGTTTCTCCCTTGGCGCCTGCTCTGGCAGGTCTGTTGTTCACGGGCTCAAACCGAACCATTCCCTCTCCTTTCAGCCCGAGGTATTTTGCCACTCCACACACCCCTTCTCCCCCCCCTCTCCCCACGCCCTGACTTTTAGGCTTTATTTGGTAGGACAAGAGGGAATGGATTCAAATGAAAAGAGGGCAGGGTTAGGGTGGGTATTAGGGAGGAATTCTTTACTCAGACGGTGGTGAGGTGGTGGAAAACGTTTCCCAGAGAAGCTGTGCTGCCCCATCCCTGGAAGTGTCCAAGGCCAGGTTGGACGGGGCTTGGAGCAACCTGGGCTAGTGGAAGGTGTCCCTGCCCGTGGCAGGGGGGTGGAATTAGATGAGCTTTAAGGCCCTTTCCAGCCCAAACCATTCCAGAATTTCCTGTAACAGATCGCGGACGGTTCCCTCCTCCAGGTGCGCTGTCAAACCCCAAAACCTGGGCAGCCCCAACCCTCCTCCTCCTCCTCCTCATCCCCCCAAAATCCTCCCCGGGAGCGCGGCAGCCCCTGAGCAGCGAGGCGGGGTTTGTTCCCAGCCACCCCCCGCCTCTGCCAAGCTCTGCCTCCCGCTCCCCACCGACGGGATGTTTCCCAATCAGCGCCCGCCATCCAGCACAATGCGACTAATTTCACGAAATTAAGCATTTCTCCTACACACAGCACATTTGCCCGGTGATTAGAACGAGTCCCCGAGGTAGCCAACCGCAGCAGAAGCCGGGTTTATTATGCACACCCACGCAGCCAAGCTAAAAACCCAAGACACTCCCTCGGTCCTTCCTGGGAAAGCCTGAGCAGCTCAGATTTCAGCTTCCAATTGCACCAGCCAGGACTGGGAATACTCTGTCATCTGGTGTAGGGGGAAAAAAATAAAAATAAAGGTAAGGATAGAAGTTTCCCAAAGATTTCAAGGTATCCCTGAATGCCTGAGAGAGGGAAGGGTGCAGGTGCCCAGGGATGTGGGACAAACAAGGAGCAGATCACACCCCGTGGGTTTATTAACACAACTGTGAGTAGTTACTGCCTTTTGCTCGCTCAGTCTTGGCTTTGGAGTGATTTTTTAACTCCAAAATGCTGTAATCCCCCCATTCCTCCGGGCTGTGAGCTCACAGCACCCCTCCTGTGTCACGCTGTGCAAAGTGACAATTAGTGGATGAGAAAAATCAGCATTTATTGTGTGTGTGCAGCGTGTGACCTGCCCTGGCTGCAGCAGCACGAGCCCAACCCCACTCCAGAAGTGGAACGGGGCCGAATCTCCCCCGTGCTCCCCCCTGGAGCTGCTCCCAAGCTGCACACACAGCGAGCTGCAGTTTGCTCCCACCCTTCCCCACACCAGGCAGCAAATCCGCCCGTGGAATCCCAGCCTTGGCTGTGCCTGGGACTGCTGGATGAGCAGCTGCAGCTGCTGGAGCAAAGGGGGAAGCAAGTTCAGGTGGAGGTTTTCCTCTGCCTGCAGACATCACCTCCTGCCTCATTCTCTCTTCCTCCAATTCTCCTTCTCTCAGCCCCTCCAGCCACGGTTTTCCCTCTGCCCTGCCCGTGTCTGTCTCCTCCTGGCTGTGCTCCCCCTGAAGGTGAAAAAACCTCCTCTTCCTCCTCCCCACACTCCCCTGCTCCTTCTCCTTTCCTTCCTTCTTTCCTTCCCCCAGCCCTGACCCTCCTTCACCCATCTCCACAGAGACCTTTCCCTCCCTGCAGCAGCTCCTCATCTCCCCAGCCCAGCCCTAACTCAGCTTCCCCTCCTCTTCCAGCCCTAATCCAGCCCTCATTCCTCCCCCACCACACTCCAGTTCCTGATCTCCCTTTCACCTTGTCCTGGTTTAGCCCTGCCATCCATCCCCCTCCTCCACCCTTCCCTGGGCCCAGCTCAGCCCCTCCACAGAATCCCAGAGGTTGGAAAAGACCCCTGAGATCATCGAGTCCAGCCTGTGCCCCGTCCCCACCTTGTCCCCCAGCACTGAGAGCCACATCCAACCATTCCCTGGGCACCTCCAGGAACGAGGACTCGGCCCTGGCCCGGCTCGGTCCCTTCCCCTGGCCCAGGTTTAGCTCAGGTCTTTCTCCTAGCCCAGCCCAGCCCTTTCTGCGGCCCTATTCCCAGTCCCAGCCCAGTCCCTTCTCCTTATCCTGGCTTAGCTCAGGCCTTTCTCCCGGCCCTGGCCCAGCCTTATTCCCAGTCTCAGCTCAGCCCAGCCCCATTCTCAGTCCCATCCCAGTTAAGTCCAGCCCTATTCCCAGTTCCATCCCAGTTAAGCCCAGTCCCATTCCATTCCCATCCCAGTTAAGCCCAGCCCCATTCTCAGTCCCATCCCAGTTAAGCCCAGCCCTATTCCCAGTTCCATCCCAGTTAAGTCCATTCCCATCCCAGTAAAGCCCAGCTCAACCCCAGCCCCACTTCCGGGTTTCCCCCCTCGCCCCCGCCGATCGAAATCTCGCGAGACCTCCCCCGCCCCACGCGTCACGCGGGGCCGGGCGGTTGCATCACTGCGGCCCCCCCATTCCCTGTGACGTCGCCGTTCCGCCCCGCCCCTCCGCCCTGATTGACGGAGCCGTAAATCAATCAGAAGCTGATACGGCGTGAGCGACGCGACTTGCAGCCAATGGGCAGGGTGCGAGGGCGGGGCGGCCCCCGCGGGGCGGGGCGGCGGGGCCGCGCCTGTCAGCGGGGCGGCGGGATGGCGGCGCTGTACGCCTGCACCAAGTGCCACCAGCGCTTCCCCTTCGAGGCGCTCAGCCAGGGACAGCAGCTCTGCAAGGTCCGGGGCCGGGCACAGGAGCGGGCGGAGGGGCGGCGGGTGTGAGGGGGAGGGCGCTGAGGGGGCGGTGATGGGACTGAGGGGCTGTGAGGGGACTTTGGGGGGCGGTCTCGGTGAGGGAGCCTGA